CGAGCCATTAAAACGCAGTTTAGTCCCAAGAGGAGTATTTAGCAAGACGAACAACAGCGCCATTGGGCCACACTGATCAACAAAATTATATGGTAAGCTGCATTTGCTTTGTAAATAGAATAATACATTTTTCTGTCCTCGATCATTTAAATCGCTAGTTTCATGCGTTTTTTTTTTATTTTATTTGAAGAACTGAATTGCTGTGACGATTTGATAAAGCCATCTGGTCACTTCGAATGAATCTCGGGACAAGAGCCATAAGAATTTCTCTCTATTTGAGAAACGCTAATAATTCACGTTTGCCGAATACAATAGAAAGGATTCTGTTGACGCGAAAGAATGATTTACAGAATATCTGCTGCTCGAGAGCAAAGAAAAAAGAAAATACTGATTTGGTAATGCGGATGAGCAAACAACACGAATCAGCTTTTTAATAAGGGAGATATAATCAACATTTTATTTGATTTTCCCCATTAAATAAATGGAAGAGTTTCTGTTTGAATTTATGCGGATTTCGGAAAGGAATCTACAAAAAAACCCTAAAGAAGGTAGTAAAAGGAAAGCGAGAAGAGAGGACTAACTGCAAAAAGACTGAATGCATGGTTATCAGCGAAAGGGTGAGTACAAGATGTATATTACAAATATAATAAAATCAATTAAGTCCAAGAATTTAAATATTCAGGACGTGTTCTAACAGAGGACCGGTATGTGCGAAACTAAGATCCAAAGACATATTGGGACGATCAAATATGCATTCCAAAAGCTAAGCAGCGTATTAAGAGACAGAAAAATTTCATTAGAAATGAGTATTGAATTGGTAAGTGATATCTGTCTCCCTATATGGCAGCGAATGCTAGACAATTTCCTTAAAGATGAAGAGACTTGAAGCAATAGAAATGCGGTTCCACAGAGAGATGCTGAGGATAACATAGACCAAACATGTGAGCAAGGATGAAGTTTTAGAGAAAATGAAAACAAAAAGGAAACTTATACTTAACATCAGGAAGAGGCAGTTGAAGTTTCCGATGCACGTAATGAGTAAGGAAGGCTTGGAAAATCTGATACTCACGGGACCTATTGAGCGAAAGAGAGACTGAGGAAAGCAGCGTGTAAAATACTTGATGAGCTTGAGGTTTGGGAGAAATAACAAAAAGATTAAACTTATTAAGAGCTACAAGGGATAGGAAGATGTGGAGGACCATTGTCTACTATATCCTGAAGGATCCCGGCATATAAAAGTTATTTTATGTATTTATTTTTTAATCATTTCACCCAAAGAAAGACGGGAATACCCCTAGTACGCAGGGGTGGGGGTGTAGAGGGAAGGAAAGTGAAAGAGAAGACTGAGAATAGAGAGCAGTTTTGTTTTTGAGGCATTAAAGTTAACCAGCCAATTCCTGCCCCAGTCCGCAACCGATTGGAGCTCCTTTTCTAGATTGGAATTTAGGTCCCACCGTTTTACTATTAAAATAGCTAAATTCAACCACCCCTTCCGCTCCAACAGTTTCTTTTTTCGTACATCTCGCCTGTGTAATCTTATTCTGGTGACATACTTCCTTGATAAATATAATCATCTAAAATTTAAATGCAACATCAATCACCATCTTACTTCTTCTTAAACTACATTTATCTTCTGTTCTTTTCTTCAATCTTCCCTATTCTCAGAGAACCACCCCTGCCCCACCCCATTGACTTCTGACCTGAGATGGAACAAATACATTGAGTCAATAGCTTCGTCCACCGCAAGGAAAGTTGGCTCCCTGTGCCGCGCCAGGAAATTTTTCTCGCCAGAGTCGATCCTTCAAATCTACAAATCAACCATTCGTCCTTGCATGGAGTATTGCTGCCATATATGGTCTGGGACCCCTTCTGTTTGTCTCAAGGTCCTTGATAAAATTCGGGGACGGATATGCAGTGTAATTGTCCCTGATCTGGCATCTCGTCTGCAGTCGATCTCTTACAGACGTACCGTCGCCTTCCTCTGTCTTTTTTACAAATACTTTCACGGTAACTGCCCCGATGAGCTGCTTTCGCTGGTTTTCAGACTTCAACTAGGCTAGCACCTCACTCTCACCCTTTCACTGTCGAAACTGTTAAATGTAGCCGTCTCTTCTACTCTAATAGCTTCATGTCTCGCATTTCCCGCCTTTGGAACTCTCTCCACTTTTCCTGTTTCTATGATAGCTATAATCTCCAACTATTCAAATGTAATGTCGATCAACGTCTCCAGATGCCCTGATCTATCCCCTATCCTTCTCTTCATCCTTTTCTCTATCACTCCTATTTGCTATCGCTCCAACTCTCTGTAAGCCCTTGCGTCCTTGTGGCTTCCCGCCTTGCTTTGGGGTGAAACGCTTAAAAAAAATGGTCGGGAAACCAGCGAAAAAAGATCGTCAAAATAGTTACCATGAAAATATTTGTAGAAAAGACAGCTTCGAACTATTGTCCTCACCTTTGTTGTTGTTATCACAATGATTTGACCGTTGTGCCCCCACGGCCTTCCTCATGTGTATATTGATCAGCAGGGATTTCTGAACTGAATTCTTGATTTAATCTTATTTAATCTAGACTTCACGTTCCACTGCCCACAGCAGTCTACCCTTGTAAGTTAAATAAAGAGTTCAGTTCAAAATTCCCTGTAGATCGATCTAAATCTGACGAAGGTCAGAGGGCACAATAGGTAAATCTTTGTGATAAAAGCAAGAAAGATGAGGAAAATAACTCGACTATAAATGATATAAATTAATGAAAAAAACATTATTTTGTTACTATAAATATTCTCTTTCTTTTTATTGATGTTTCAAACAGGTATTATCAGATAGCTCCCCCTTCAGATCAAGAGACATTATGTCTTTTAAATCATCCAGGACTTCCCTCAGTATTTTTTTAAAATAATTTGGCTGTCTGAATGGTTTAATTCATTCATCAGTTGACTTCTATATTTTTTCGCAAAACATAACGATATTTTTTTCCACGTTAAATGGCGAAAATGTCGACTTCATGTTTCCCAAGTGCTGCTCTATATTTACAAGAGCCAGATGAGACAATAATGACAGAGTATTGCGGCCTTTTCTGCGTTGGAGCTGTCCAGTAATCTCTTGCAAGTCTTGATAGTCTTCAAAAGCGTGTACCTGACTTTTGTGGGAGATTAGTTATTTTCCATCTTACAACCCCGTTCTCAGAGATGAAACGTAGTAAGCATCTTGCTACTGTAACGCAAATTTTCTGACGAGCTACATACCTTAGTTCCACCAGTCCTGGCCTTTGCAGATAAGACCCGACATGCCAGGACCACTGGTTCGAATCATCCTCATTCCTTTCGTATCTCATTAATAAGAAAAGTTCCACTCAGATGGCTTTTTCCGAAGAACCGCTGTTTTGTGAAACAGACTCCCGCTTGGGTTTTTTCCCGATTACTACAATTTTAACCTCTTCAAGATTCAGGGATTCGTTTTTTACGGCTTATCAATCCCTTGCAGGTCATTTAAAGCCAGAATATTTTTTTTTAAATGTAAGAATTCTTTTTTTTTTTTTTAGATAATAATGGTTTAGTGATACAAGTATTCCGACAAAAATGGTTGAATTTGCGCGTAAGTGAATGCAACGAACCAAAACTGGAATTGGAACTCCGATCTCCGATTAACAATTCCGAGCCATTATCCATTACACTATCTGCACATCCAAGCTTATAGTACCAGGTATGCCCAAGCGGTCACCATTCTAGGTACTGAGCAGGCCCGACGTTGATTAATTTCTGTGATGGTACAGAAACCAGCGTTTCAGTGGAATGTGACTGTATGGCACTTTAACCGTTATATGTATGACAGCACTTTATAATCTACCCTTCTTACCTCCCCCTCTTACGCTTATCCAAAATCGTCATTTGGTAATCCTCTACCTTGAGTGTCTCTTTGGACTTGCATTGGGTGAACATTAGTAAAAATTAAAGAAAGAATTTAACACTTGGTCAATGCTAAAGAAGTAGGGGAAAACAGCAAATAAACGAAATAAAACAATACGAAATAAAAGAGAGGAAGTTGTGGAGGGCTACTATCATCATGACATATGATTTTTTTTTATTTTGAATCACTCAATGTCTTTGCTGAAAAAATCGTACTAGCATAATTCTTTGAAAACTTATCTCGTAAACTATTTATAGCAATTTAAATATTGCAGTTATTTCCAATGTATGCAAAGGTTCAATTTCAAAGGCAATGAGATGTAACACTATGTTATTTAAAGCAAAAATAATCTAAACTTATTCTAGCTATTCCTTTTGTCGTATGCCATGTATTGGCCGGTTACGTTTCAATAGTTCTTATAGACGTAGTTCTTTTAATACTTCTATAACCTCTGGATAAGCAAAAAAAAAATATGTAGACCGTTCACACATCAAATATTTAATTTTAATGTGTACATTTTTATTAAAAATATATCAGCAATACATTTTCAGATAAAAAAATGCCAATACATTTTCGTAGTGAAGTTACCAGCAATATATTTTTATAGTAAAATTGCCAATACATTTTTTATATTAAAATTACCGACAATAAACTTTTGCAGTAAAATCACCAGCAATATATTTCTAAAAAAATAACAATACATTTTATCATCTACAAATTATATATCTAAACATACCTTTACCCTGAAAATATAAAATTATCTACAAAATATTTAAATTTCGGTACTAAATAACTCATAGTGGTTGATATGTCGCCAAACAAAATCGACCACCCTTTTCTTATCAATGCATTTGAGTGGTAAATATGAAACGCTTTATCAAATTATTTCAATGCCCTTTCAAACTGTAATAATGGCTCTCCAGAGACTCATTTTCTTGATTATCTGTTGTATTGCTATAACTTATTTTGAAACAGAGAGGGATGATTGCTGGGTGCCTTGGAATCCGGAACTGTTGTTCCTCTATACTCATGGCTAGAGACCCCAAATTATTCTGTTCTGTAATCTAAATTTTGAGTTGAGAAGTACTGCAGCCATTG